CTCTCAGAAAAGAAAGTGAATTTGTGCTTTATTCACTTTGGACTTTTTGCTCGACACTTCGTGCCATATAACATGTTACAATAAAAGCTGTTGGTGAATGTATGCATTCTTATGGTTTTTTGTTGTGTGCAGTACTTCGGCTTTTTTTTTTATGATCATTCAGTGTATGCATCGTCTTCCCATACTTTATAGTACTGCTTGTATTTTTTAGTTACCTTGTATACTGTGAGTTGCTCTGTAACTAAATTATGCGCCGACCACACTTCGATCGCAGTTCAACTGACGTGTGCAGTTGTCCTGTCGCATCGATAGTTACTTGTGGGTCGAAGAGCATTAACCATGCTATTTTTAGTTACCTTGACTATGGTGAGTTGTTCTGTAACTAAATTATATGCCGACCACACTTCGATCGCAATTCAACTGACGTGTGCAGTTGTCCTGTCGCATCGATAGTTACTTGTGGGTCGAAGAGCATTAACCATGCTGTGAGTTCGTGATAAACAACTTGTCTCGTCCGTGCATCTGGTTGAATGTTCTATTGTCACTACAGGGGTGAGGAACTTGGTACATTCGACGTGAAAGAGGTCACTTCCTGATTACTTTCCCGAACCTCCTTCCAGTGTTCCGTCGAATTCTACCCATTTGTTGACTGAAAACAGACTAAAACATAGGTTTTTCAGATAAAAACGGTGTTTTATTGGTCTGTTTTCAGTCGTACGTTCCCACCCAGCCATCCCCACGGGGAAGTAATCCAGTCCAGTCCTGCTTGATGGCTTATTCTTCGAGATTAGTGACATGTCATAGGGAGGTGCTTGTGCAACCAGACGGAAACAAGTTTAATGTTTACATTCCAGCTTCTGACTTCCTTTTAAACGTGCAACTAGACGTGAGGGTATGAGGGATACCCATTTGTACGACTGAAAACAGTAATCTGAAAAACCCATATTTCTAACAAATACAAAACCTCTATTACATCTGTGCCATCAATCCTGTATTTTGGCTGTCATCACACTATAAAAATCTTCAGATTTTCAACAGAAGTCCTCTGTCCTGTCAACTATCCATAATAAGTTGTGCATGTAATAGCATCTTGCTACCCATGCCCCTTGCTCAGTGTAAGGTGGGAAATCTCATTTCTTTCCTCTGTGTGCAAGGAACAACATCCAAAATTTATTTCTGAGTTGTCTTGCACATTATTTGGAAGTTGTCAGAATCTTGGAAGAAGGCTGAGAGCAAATAGTTGGCTAAGAAGGAAAAGTTGGCTAAGAAGAAAAGTTGGCTAATAAGAAAGAGGTTGTCAAGAAAAAGGTGGAGACTCTCACCTCCCTTTCTACGGTCACAGCAGAGATTCGTCTCCAGCCATCAGAAGAGTCTTCGAGACACCCCTCAGCATTACTGATGTTGTTCAGAAAGAATGTTACCAAAGGTCTCCATGGATAATCTTCAGTGTGACTGAGGGACCCAATCACTTTCTAAGTTGGTGGGTATTGTTACTAGGGAACCTGAAGCCCTTGAAAGATATGACATACAGGGGAAGACCCATTCAAGCTTGTATGAACCAAAGTTTTAAGGTCAAAAGTTTAACAGCCTTGTACCTTTCCACGAAATAATGATTTTTTAAACACAAGTAGCAATTTATAAAATGATCCACAGCAGAATGTTATGTGAACAAATAATCAAACCTGGCAGAAAAGTTCATTGTACATGGACTGGGATAAAATCGTCCAGATACTCCCACCCTTGAAAACACCATGCAAAATGTTACCTCATACTCATGCAACAAAACTCATCATGTGCATTCAAATGGTATAAATACCGGCAGTGGAGAGAGAAGTTGAAGTCAGTACGATTTAACTTATGGTTAGACGCCATTTAACTGAAACTGAGGTGGCTAGAGCCACAGGAACAATACAGGGTGGTTTGGCTCAAACAGCTAATCAGAACAATGTTTATTGTTGAGTCATTTTAAGAGCAACAACCCAATCTCACCAAACTGGCCTAAAGACAAAAGAAACCATGCTTCAGTTCTCCGAAGGTGACAACTCCTAGACTGGCTAGACTGGCCTAGAAGCAGGTTCACCACAGCACGATTTCTCCAGAATCACCTTCAACAATTGGCAGGTTGTCAACACTAACAAGTTCGAAAAGACTCCATGCAGAGGGTCTGTGGTCTAGAAGACCAGTACAACGGATGCCATTGCCTACACACTATGGATAACACTGGATGATCGTAATTAGTGGGTCAAACATTGGCAAAATGTTCTTTTCATAGACATTTCCAGATATTGCCTACTCTTCAATGATGGTTGGGCCGTTGTCAACAACACCAAACAATATGACAACTGTACCATTGTGGAACACAATCGTTTTGGAGGTTAAAGCTTGATAGTGTGGGGTTGGATAGGTTTGGGTGAAGAGATGTTGTCAGCAGATGGTGTACCATGACTGGCGTTATGTTACAGAGATGAGATTATCACACCTGTCATCATTCCCCTGGCACACCAAACTGGTCCTAACATCCTCATGCGCATCGATCAAGATTTTGTTACTTTTGTCCTCCAGGCCAACAATATTACACACATGAACTGGCGTGCAAGATCACCGGACCTCAATCCGATTGAACACGCTTGGGACATCCTTGGGAGACGTGTTTTTGGTCGCCATTTTCAGTCCCAGACTTTGGATCCACTTGAGCAGGTGTTATGGGTAAAATGGCAGAATATTGCTTTTAATAGTCTTCAAGTTATATCATGGCATGTCAGCTTTATGTTGGAGGAAAGCCAGAAGTGATGCATGTCTTAGATGTTTACCACTTTGGTGAAACCCACTAGCACGGGTATGGTGCTGACAAACCTAGAAACATAATTGGAGTGAACCCACAATTGTAAGTTTCTGGCATGCCCAAGGCACGCAACTCTGCACAGCAAATTGCAGCGTGTTAAACGACTTGGCCACCCATGCCCCCTAACTTTTTATGAGGAGACTACTATGCACTCGATGCATGGAAGCAACTCTTAGACCTATCTTGGATCCTTGTGGGCAGAGTTAACACCACAGTGTCAGCTTACTCTGACAGACACGGGGAAACCAAACCAATTGGTTTAATGAACGAGATTACACGTTTAGTTGTGTCATATCCCGGGGAAGTTAAACATTTTGGCAGACATTTATCCCGTCGGGATAGGATTGTGGCGATAGAGTGGCCTCTCCATTCAGAGGTCCTCTCTTGTATAACATTATTATGGGATATTGTTTGCTACATGCCAGCTGCCAATGGGAGGTCTCAAAACAAGTTCAACAATATGTCACATTCAACCAGGTTTACTCTCTGGGAGTGTTGTGTGGCAGCCCAGTCTCTTGTGTCTTGGTTGTTCCCACTCCTTGGATGATGTGGGATTAGGATGCAAATATAATGGTTCTGCGAAAGTTTATTTGCCATTCTGCGAAAGTTTATTTGCCATTGTCTTTCACATTCTTAGATTTAGTCCTTTTGAGGTGATTTGATTCTATGTATGCCTGATATTGGTCAAACACCAGAATGAAGAGGTTTTTGAGCCATTAGGTATCCACAATCAACTGTTTACTATCCTGGGATGTCAGACCCCAACAGTCCTTCTGGGATAATCTGCCAATGCTTTAATAGGGGTTTTGATCATTATAGTTATCATTGTTTAAAATTCTAAGAATACTACCTCTATTACATGAGTTCCCACACACCACCTCCAATTATCTGCATATACTGATGTTGGAAAGAAGTGAGGTTTCCCACGTTACATATATTCATGAGATACAGGTAGCAAGATACTATTCCTTGCACAACTTATTATGGATAGTTGACAGTAAAGAGCACATCTGTTGAAAATCTGAAGATTTTTATAGTGTGATGACAGCCAAAATACAGGATTTCTCACAATTATTAAATAGAATAGTATTCATAGAATTATTAACAATGATAGCTATTGTTTGATAATTCCTACTTTATTTGCATTTTGCTCTAAAAAGTGAAATGGGAGACTTCACAACAATAGAAATATAACAAAATGTTGGTCACCAATCAGGTCATACAATTATTTAATTATCATTGTTTCTCCATAATGTGTATAAAAAACACATTAAGGAATTGAGGTGCAATTTTCATTTTTCAAAATTCTCAAGTGGTAATGTTTTAATTTTTGTATTATGATCATGCTTTCAGATTTTATTATTTTTGGGTCATTTTTGACATTTCAAATGCCAGCATTTTCTGAGAATGTCCCATATAGGAGTTTTTGGTCAAATGTGCATATAATAATATTGCTCAGTTATGGAGAAATTTAAATGTGCGCATACATTTACACTCACATGGATATGACAGAAATGTGTTTATGTACGAGTATGTACTGATAACAACACAGACCTTATTTCCAAATTGATAGTTATATGATGAGGTTATTATAACAATTTCCAAATTGCTTACCCCATTGTGATGTGTGTCACAGGATGGGAGAGTATAAGAAATCTCTCGCAACTGATCTCATTTGGAGAATAAGGCCATGTGTATAAGTCAGTTCTCTCTGTTCAGTGCATCTTGTCATTACTGGCACAGCCCAACTAGACTGATACCATGACATGCTACATCAGTTTGAATGTGTCAGTGTTAGGAGTAAGGGGGACAGCACAACATCTTCTCCCATCATCTTTTCATTTTGTCTTTGCTTTCAAGTAATCTAATCTTCCTATCTACACTGTTGAAGTTTCATGTCTTGTTGGGAAACACTGTAATTAATACCTGCTATATTCCCAGTAACAATATTCAACAGTTACATGATAAACCTTATGTGCCTGAAGATTTGGCCTGTTTCTCAATCTAGGAAATATAACATGCCCAAAGACAGCCATGATCTTAATGTTCTGCTAGGTAAGAAACTAACAATTTAACATATAGAATGAGTCAAGAAAATAAATATGTATTTTATTTGAATAGTAAGTATGAATTTGAGATTGGTTATTGTTACTTCCAGGTCGTATGATAAGAGCAAAGTCAGCAGCCTTAGTACAGAGAGTGCAGCAGTGCCACTGAAGGCACCTCTGGACCAGGAGCCAGGCATCACAGCAGCAGCAGGAGGCAGTAACCAGAAGGAGCAAGTGGTGTAACCCCCTTCTTCCTGCTGCAGGTGTTAACTTACTCTTCTCCTCTAGCAGGCATATCAGCTATAGACTGAAGGAGGATTTAACTCAAGAGGGTTGTTTTGTTGGGGGTATTTGTTTGGGGTATTTGTTTGGTTAGTTGCGCATCTTAAGCACTGAAGTAGTAACAAGTTAAATATATTGTTTGTGTAACCATAGCAAAACATTTAATGGCAGTTAGTTTACCTAATGTATATTATGGGATATAGGTCAAGTTTTCAGGACCAAAAACTAATTGAATAGAAAAAGGTGTAGACCAATATCCTTAAGCAACATTTGTAAAAGCTATTTGAAGGTACACCAGTCTACAGCGAGTAACCTATAGAAATCTGCCACTGAACAAAATATACCTGTACATACAAAGGTGATCCGTCAACTGAAAACTTGGCTTCAAAAGTTAAGATATATATAAGGCTACAGATCATTATCAATGCAACAATATATAAAACACTGAAGTGTTAAGAACACACTACAATAATTTGAACATTAAACTGAGTGAAAGAAGTAGACCATATATTCAAATCAAACGTAACATTACAAAATTTGATTTTTAAATGTAGTGTTCAAGAAAGTTGTGACATCAAACACACACTGATCACCTAGCAGAGATCAATGCTCGACAACATCTGTGCAGTTCACGAATATGTATCCCTATCTGGCTTTTGGGGATGTTTTGCCGCTCCTGAAGCAAGGCTGCTTGAAGGTCATTAAGCATGACAGGGGGCATCACTCTCTCCCAAAGAGCCACTGTCCAAGCATGTCACACATGGGTATAGGTCAGGGATAACACTGGCCAGTCTGTATATCTCACCAAATGTTGACATGAGTAAGCTGTCACAATCCTAGCTCTGTGTGGTCTGGAATTGTCCTGAAACTTGTATGACGTTCAGTACCTGGAGACACAACCGGTACAATGTTATCTCTGTACTTTTCACCAGTCATAGTCACTTCAAAGAAGGTCAGTCATGTTGTTCATGCTTATGCCCCCACAGAACCTCACAGAGCCACCATGATCATGCTCAGTTACTGCCTTCAAGTGTCTCTCCCTGTCTTCAAAATACTGGTCTACAGCCATCATTGAAGGACATATTGAAGCTAGACACATCAGAGAATACTTGAATGGGAATGTTAAATGTTGTCTGTTCTGAGAGGAGGTTGGACAGCATGATCTCTTGCTCTGGTGCTATGGTCCCTCAATCGTTGGCTCACTGTTGACACCGATACCTAGGCGCCTGTAATGTGGTGCCTCTCCTGGTGATCTGGCTATGGTTTGCCTGTTCCTGAGTGCTGTCAAAGTCAAATATTGATCGTTGTTCCTTGTGGAGACTCTTGGATGACCAGACCAAGGACAATCACAGACAGAATTTGTCTGTTGAAACCTTCTCCAAAGGTTGGACGTTTTGCCTACTGGGATACCATGTAAATCCCACACTGGTTTGGTTAAATGCATGTAATTCTTTTGAATACATCACCTCTATCACATCAGTTGCCATAAATTCCTGTTTATGCTGAGAACCACACTATAAATTTTTATAAATTTTCAACAGACGTCCACTACACTGCCAACGTATCCATAGTTGTGAGGGAAACCCTTTTCCTTGCCAGGGGCGCCACCGCACATGCGCAAGGCGGGAATCTAGTTACTTCTTTCCTGTGTGTCCAGATGACAACAAGGAAAATTTTTGTTGCACATCCGAACACGTGATTGAGTTCCACGCTTACAAGCACATTAGATCTTCTCAAGATTCATAGACTACAAGCAGTGAGCAGTTCTACAAATAAGCAGAACTGGGGTATAGAAGATCAGAGTCTCTAGTAAGTAATTAGTTAAGAAAAGTGTTGTAGGATGAGATCTTCATCTCATAAACAGACACCTGTCTGTTCGGGCTGTGGGCAACACCAGGCTCCCGGTGACCCTCACCCTAGATGTCTCTCATGCAAGAAAAGCAGCTGCACACAGAAGTCAAGGTGCAGCTATTGCGAGCATCTGTCAAAAGAAAAATTTGACAAGCTCTCCAAGGCATGGATCAATAATCACGATTACAAAAAGATCACTAGAGCATCAACATCAAGAAAACAAGTGATTAAGCCCTTGGCAGCCAAAATTAATCACGTGGGTGACAAGCGAGTGTCGCGAGAGGGCGCCGTCTCACCTTATGAGGAGAAGAGACCCCGTCGCTCATCCCACTCTCCCGATAAAGTTGAGGAGCAGATGCATTTTACCGGCCTTAACACAGCCTCTAACTTGCATCCGGCAACGTCTGGTACGGTTGATCATCGAGTTTGGCCAGAAACTAACGATCTTCACCCTCTGCCGTGTTCCCCCTTTAACTTAAATGAGTTCACGGAAAGAATAACAAATTCAATGTCTGTTATGATTGACACACGCATGCAATCTATGTCTCAGGAAATCTCAGATCTAAAAGAATCAGTTAATCAAACCCGGCTTGGCCAATCAGGGATTGATCACGAGTAAACAGAGATCTAAGGCTGAATATGGCAGTACACCCACATACAGCAGACATGCACAAGGTTACGCTGAATCAGATTATGAGGACAGTAGGAGAATTATACTAAGAGACCGAGAATCTCATAGATCATCTCCCTACCATGCTCACCATAGGGCACATCGTGAATCACAGTCTTCGCATCGCAGTATGCACAGAAATACACACCAGTCAGCCTCAAGCCACTATGATAGACGAACTAACAAAGCTCGTGCATATCAGGATAGTAATCCTAAGCGTGCGCCATCTCATACTGCCACACAGTCCAGTTATTCGGGCGGAGAAAGCGAGGGATATATGACATCACCATACAGTTATAGATCACATGATTCCCGCACAGCTTGCCGTAAATCAGACGACCGGGATTACAATACCCTCAGCCATACGACCCACTCCCAGCGCAGCCAGAGTAGGGGGTGCCGATCTACAGCTAACACTGATTATTCATGCTATGGGGACACAACTATGGAGGATGATTATAGACCAAACAATTACTCTCTTAGAGATATCGTTGCAGAACTTTATGAGCTGATGCCCTCCTTAAAACCAGATCAGGACAGTACGCCCGTTAAACCCTTGATTGAACGTGCTGGGTATGAGGGACCCGTCAGGGGAACTGAACAATTCCATACCCTTCCCCGCCCATCATATATGGATGACGTCATCAAGAAAACCGAAAATCAATTGAATTTTGCAGCAGGAACTAGTGCTAGACTGAGGCCTATCTATAATAAGTCTGCTTACAAAGACACACGATGATCCCTTCGCACTACAGCCTAGCATTGACGAAGATAACTTCGATCTGGTTAAGAAACCTAACCCCAATATGCGCATTGACATGGCCAAGATCAAGAACTTAGATAAAATCAACAAACAGATGATTAATATCAGTTCTTACATTAACTGGTAAGAAGCTGGTATTCGACATGTCATACCCCCGTACAACCAGAGCGATGATCCGCTCTTTGACGCTTCAACAGAGATGACTAGTCAGAAGACGGAATTTATCCACAGCTCACTGGACCATATACTGAAGATGCAGGAAGACCTTCAATCAGCACAAGTCTGGATGTCAGCGCAGTTCCTGCTCATGCAAAGAAGACACTTACTACAGCAAGTTCATCATGTGATGCCGGACCCGTTAAAGAGATCCATGATGTCACAGCCCATTACGTCATCGCAGATATTCAGCGGTAGACTGAAGTCGGTAAAGGAAGCCATTATGTCGTCAACTAACCAGAAGTTTCAGGAATCCACCATCTTGATAGCATCCAAGTTACAGAGACAGCCGGCAGTTACTCAGCACCAACAACATTGATTTCAGAAGTACCTCATGAACACAGGGTAACTTGACTTTGTAACTGGGCTGTGCTATTGATTTAGTAAAACAGGGCAAATGGCAACACTGAAATCAGAGATCGAAGGATTAAGTGATGTACGGTAATCAACATGATAGGAAATATCGATGTACTAACACCGGAAGTGACATCATAGGAGACATCACACCGGAATAACGTCAAGATACGTTAAATATCACTATCCAAAAGGGCATAACGGTAAACCACGTCATAGTGATACGAGAAAATAGAAGACATATATCACAATGGGCATGGTGTAACACCGGAAGTGACGTCACAGATGACGTCATCACCAGAAGTGACGTCATCACAGGGAGTGACGTCATAATATGTCTAAGTATCACAAGGGAATATATATATACCAATCATATGACGTTTTGAAAATTCTCTATGTCTAAGTCTTGTAAGTAGACACATCCGTTTAGATCCCCTTTTTTGGCATATAATCCTTGGTTTTACCACTCCACTAGCCAAATATCTAAGGGATGCTAGATACCAGAACCCACTGGTCCCTCTGGTGTATACTGGCAACTGATGTGATAGAGGTGAGGTATTCCACAGAATTATCAAACAATAGTTATCATTGTGAATAATTCTAAGAATACCACCTCTATCATATCAGGAATTAATCCCTCCCACCTCCCCAAATATCTGCATCTAGTTGATGAGAGTAATGGGTTGAAAGACGTGACTAGATTCCCGCCTTGCGCATGCGCGGTGGCACCCCTGGCAAGGGATAGGGTTTCCCTCACAACTATGGATATGTTGGCAGTGTAGTGGACGTCTGTTGAAAATTTATAAAAATTTATAGTGTGGTTCTCAGCATAAAAAGGAATTTATGGCAACTGATGTGATAGAGGTGATGTATTCTTAGAATTATTCACAATGATAACTATTGTTTGATGTTGCAAGGTTTGTCTCAGATTCTTCACTATTGAAAGTGCCAGCCTTGCATTTGCAAGTTTTACCAGAAAAGGGTCATTCAGCAACTTTGTTTGACAGTGTTTGGTTTACGTTCTGTGTTTTGTTTGTTATTTTTCCAAAAGCTAATCATGTTTGCAAAAGTTACCTTCATGTGTCTTTGGTAACTGTAGCCTTCTGGACATTTATTTTCTCGGAATCTAAACATTTGATGCCAAGAAGAGGAATAAAATTATAACTGTTGTTTCTAAATGAACTTCTAAACAGTGTCAACATGTAAACAAATCAATAATAGCTTGTTGGGAAGCATGTATACACTGATGTATCAGAGTAAAGGGGTTTATAGTGTAGCTGATGCAGTGTGTATATTAACTATGTCATGATTACGATGAGTTCAGCCTTTCCCCAAGGCATAAAATAGGTAGTGATTTCAGGGGGTAATGTTGGTGGTTGACCTATATCCCATAATGTACTCAACACTATTGGTGACATGAGTACCAGAATGTATTCTGTTATTTGCTTAATGTTTTAGCAAATACCTGCGGCATGATATGAAGGATGCATTGTATGTGAGGTGGTATTAATTTATTTTTTGAAGACATTATGAACTGACTAGAAATTTAAATCCAGAGCTTTAAGACATATCAAAATTCAAAGACAAACATCTGTAATTATGATAGATGCAACAAATACTTTCTACTGAGTGTTATTTCTTCTGCTTATGATTAAAAGGAATTATTTTTTGGCTTTACAAAATATTCAACGTAAATAGTGTGCGACATAGGTGCTGACAGTATGTGCAAGATAAATATATCCAGCGACTTTCACGAACCATCAGCAGTCAGTTATGCAAGACCCTCATCACCTTCTACAACATGTGGGTACTGCTACATGCTTTCCTAGCAGGAAATAGGCAACAAACAGTTCAGTGGACCAGTCGTCTTTGCTTAGGCACAACAGTTCGCTGTGCAGAGACTAAAATTTCATTTGAATCCCAGATTTGCCTTGTTTATGATTATAGGTTTGGGTTTCACAAAAAAGGGTAAAATGTTTAAGATCTGCAGGACTTTCATCCACATCAAGCTGACATGATATTACTGAAATGCTGTTAAAAACTAAATTTAGCCAATTTACTCACTCTCTCACACCTTAATTTGTTCTCATAAAATGTAGTTATTTCAATAGTCACCCAACATTTTGAGACAAAAACCGTAACAAGATTCTGATCTGATGTTGACATTGTTGGCATGTTGAAAATGTAATATTTTTATTTTCTCCAGCAATGAAACCTGTTACATTGTTTTCTTTAAATAGTTTGTCCCTTTTTTCACATGCATGATTTTATAACAAATGATTATACAGAATTTGATTTGTCGCAAAATATATGTTGTGTATGTCAGAACAAACATTACATGAACTTGGCGTCAGTAGGGCTTGGACGATACACTAACAGTGCGATCCGATAGGTATCACTATACTTGCATGTCCTCTTATCTGTGGTGCGTAAGCCATCTTATTTATAGACAGGATGGCCAAATACCTGGCACACTAACGATTTACAGTTTGCAGTGTCAATTATGGCACAATGAATGAAAATATTTACATTTTCACCACTCATTTTCACTAGTAATTAGTGTTTGGTGTAACATTTATTAAAGATTACATTTAAGGTCAGAATCAATACTTTTTACTCAGTGTGCGAATCTGATTGATACTTGTATCGAGATGTAAAATAATTGCGACCAACTGATGCATCGG